TGGCTTATACCATCAAGTTCCAGTTGACCCCACCTCTCAAACTCCCTTCCCTTTCAGGGACCCCTCATGAGAGCATTCTCAAAACAGGGAGAGAACTCCTTGATCCATCTAGGAGCCATAGAGTCTATACCTCTCAAATATAGTGGAAAGAATTTTTTCTCCAGGTACTTCCTGTTTCTAAAGAAGATGGGGTTGGAGGCCAATCCTGGACTTCAGACAGTTGAACGTCTTCATCCATCATACAAGATACAGGAAGGTTATGTTGGCTGCCATAATGTCATTGCTGAATGAACACAACTGGTTTACTGCTCACAGTCTAATATTTCCACTCCAATATTCACCCAACCCTCAGGATATTTCTGCACTTTATGATGGGCATGTACCACTTACAGTTCAAAGTACTTCCCTTTGGGCTATCAGATGTTAGGATATTATTATTAATAATAATAATCCAAGGATATTAACGAAATCCATAGGAGTGGTAGGAACCCGCTTATCTATTACATATTTCCCTATCTAGTTGATTGGCTTCTCAAGGATCGGTCCTACCAAGAAGTACAGATGGCAGTGACCTGAACTTGTGCCAGTCCTTTGAGTTTCAATTAAATGCAGGAAAGTCCACTGTAACACCTACATGGACTATAGAATGTATTGGAGCAGCCCTGGATTCAATCATGACCAAAGTATTCTGATCACTGGACAGGTTTCTACCTTTGAGGGCAGGTGGCAATGTGCATTATGTGACCCCGTTCACCAGATGGCACCTGCCAAGTCTTCAGACTTGGTTAAAATCAGCCTATATTTCGAATAAGGACTCCTTTGAAAAGAAGGTCTCCTACCCACCTTCAGTTCAAGCCTGTCTCACCTAGTGGGAAAAGAGGAACATGTGTAGAGATCCCTTTTACTCACTCTCCTCCCATGATAACACTCATTCCTGATGCATCTCTCCTGACTTGGGGAGTATACCTGGATGACCACATAGCCCAAGGTTCATAGACCCCACAAGAGTCCACACTTGACATTAACCTGCTATAGCTACATTTGTCTGCGAGTCATGCAGACACTTCCTATCCATCATCTGCTCTACTCAAGTTCAGATCAGGTCAGACAGCATGTCCGCTGTTTATTATATAAACAAGCAAGGTCCACACCACTATCCACGGAAGTGGTACAGCTATGAAACTGATGCACCCAGCTCAGCATCACTCTCTCCACAGTACATCTTCGAGGAGTTACGAATTCCCTGGCAGATAGGTTCATCAGACATTCAGCTAGGATCATGAATGGGAGCTCCACTTTTCAGTGGTCCAACAAAGTTCACAACAATGGGGGTATCTATCCTGGAGCCTCTTTGACACCCAAGAAAACAAGAAATGCCAAGTTTATTGCTTTTGCAACAGCCACAGTCTGGACTCAAGACAGGTTGCCATCCTATTCCCAAGGTCAGAACCATTAATGTATGCCTTCTCTCCCATTCCCCTGAGACCATGTGTTCTCCACAAAATACAGAGTGACGGTAATTCTAATAGCGCCACGGTAGCTGGTGGCCCTGTCTGTTTTGGTTTACTGCAGTGACCCTGCAAATGACCACCTGCAGATGCATTCACCAGCAATCATTTCCCACACTACTCTCTCAAAATTGGGGGCAGCACCAACCATCCCATCTCAACTTCCTTACAGCTTACAGCCTGGGTTTTGGTACGGCAACAGGCTCAGAGTGAACTTGCTCAAAAGAGGTGCAATCCGTCTTGCTTAATAGTAGAAAATCTTTTACATGTAAGCGTTACACTGCTAAGTGGAAGCATTTTTCCCTGTGATGCCAGAAACATCACCTTTCACCAGCGAAGTCAGAATGTCTCTGTATCCTTGACTACCTCCTCTACCTAAAGCCATCCAGATTTCCAGGCAGTGCACTGAGAGTATCTGGCACGTATTAGTGCATTTAACCATCCTGTAGAGAGCGACTCAGTTTTTGTTCATCCCATGACAAGTCTGATTACTTAAGGGTATTGTTAGAACTTTCCTTCCTGTATCTCGACCTATACCTCCCTGGGATCTAAATTTAGTACTGGCAGCACTTATGTGGCCTCTGTTTGAGCTCTTGGCTTCATGCTCCTTCCTGTATTTATTAGTGAAAGTGGATTTTTTAATAGTGATTACTTCTGCTCAGAATGTAGGTAAGCTTGGTGCCCTCATGGCAGACATGCCTTAAACAGTCTGTCATAGAGACAAGGCGTCCTTCTGACTACATCCTGAGTTTGTTCCTAAGGTCTTGTCAAACTTCCATCCGAATGAAACAATTCATTAACCTATATTTTACCTGAAACCTCACAACACTAGAAACGATGGGAGATAATACGCTCTACATGTTTGAAGAGCCCTGGCTTTCTGCTTTGTTGGCAAAAAGAAAAGGAGTACTTGTGGCACCTTAGAGACTAACCAATTTATTTGAGCCTATGCGTTCGTGAGCTTTGTTGGATAAAGCCATTTTGAAGATCTCCCCGACTGTTAGTTTCCTTCACCAAGAGAATGAAGGGCAAGGCCATAGTTCTGAAAGACTCCCAAGGCACATCTCTGGCTGCCATCCTCCTTTGCTACCAGAGTGCAGAAGCTCCTCCTCTGTGATATATCAAAACTCACTCAACTGGGGCATATGCTCCCTCAGTAGCATCACTGCAAGGTGTCCAACTTTCTGAAATCTGCAGAGCTGCTACTTGGAGCTCGATCCATACATTTACTAGGCACTATGCTCTGACTCAGGCCTTGGCAGATGGTGCATCATTTGGTTCTCCAGTCCTTCAGACTGTGATGCCAAATATCTCCTTACACCCTACCCCTAAAAAAGCACTGCTTGGGAATCACCCACAGTGAATAGTCATAGGGCCTAGCACTCGAAGAAGCATTGGAGTTCTTTGAGATGTGTGGTCGCCATGGGTGTTCATGACCCACACTCCTTCCCCTCTGCTTTGGATCTTCGCATGATTTGTGGTAGAGTAGGAACTGAAAGGGCGGGTGGTCTATGTCTCCACTTATACCTTTGGTTCACAGCATGAGGAACCGTAGTGCACAGGTGCAGACCAGTGGACACTGCTATTAAAGAATTTCCAGTCTCAGGGGCATGGAATGCATGCGCACCCATAGTGAATACCCAAAGGAGTGGTGGGCAGCCTGCGGGCCACATGCGGTCCACTGGGGTAATCCGCTGGCGAGCCGCAAGACAGTGTGTTTACATTGACCATCCGCATGCACAACACCCACAGCTCCCAGTGGCTGCAGTTCGCTGTTCCTGGCCAATGGGAGCTGTGGGAAGCGGCGGCCAGCACGCCCCTGCAGCCCGCGCCGCTTCCCACAGTTCCCATTGGCCGGGAACAGCGAACTGCAGCCATTGACCTGCAGACGGTCAATATAAACAAACTTTCTCAGCCCGCCAGTGGATTACTCTGATGGGCCGCGTGGCCCATGGGCCCCAGGTTGCCCACCACTGACCCAAAGGTTCTACACATCTTGAAGAACTCCAGTTACTTTAATGTAAGTAATCTTCCTTGTCTTGCTGCCTTCTGCCTATGCAACTGCAAAGCAGTAAACACAGAAAGAATACTAAGTACAATATACAGAATGTTACAGGGTAGGACCAAAATTTCTTCTGAATGCCCTGCTCTGGCTTCTGGTCATATATAAAAGGGTGTTACCCTGAGAGGGGAGAGCCCCCCCCACTGCAACTTGAGACCATTACTCCTCGTTCTGTCATCTGCTACCATTGAGAACAGTCTAGAGCCATCCTCTTTGGAACCCCCTTTCAGGTAGTTGAAAGCAGCTATCAAATCCCCCCTCATTCTTCTCTTCTGCAGACTAAACAATCCCAGCTCTCTCAGCCTCTCCTCATAAGTCATGTGTTCTAGACCCCTAATCATTTTTGTTGCCCTTCGCTGGACTCTCTCCAATTTATCCACATCCTTCTTGTAGTGTGGGGCCCAAAACTGGACACAGTACTCCAGATGAGGCCTCACCAATGTTGAATAGAGGGGAACGATCACGTCCCTCGATCTGCTCGCTATGCCCCTACTTATACATCCCAAAATGCCATTGGCCTTCTTGGCAACAAGGGCACACTGCTGACTCATATCCAGCTTCTCGTCCACTGTCACCCCTAGGTCCTTTTCCGCAGAACTGCTGCCTAGCCATTCGGCCCCTAGTCTGTAGCGGTGCATTGGATTCTTCCGTCCTAAGTGCAGGACCCTGCACTTATCCTTATTGAACCTCATCAGATTTCTTGATGCTGACCAGAAGCCCCAGAACAGGGCATTCGGAAGAAATTTTGGTGCTACCCTGTATCCTTTTGTAGATTGTACTTAGTATTCTTTCTGTGTTTACTGCTTTGCAGTTACATGAGCAGAAGGCAGCAGGACAAGAAAGATTACTTACATTATAGTAACTGGAGTTCTTTGAGCTGTGTAGTCCCTTTGGGTATTCACTGTGCGTGAATATATATATATATATATATATATATATATATTCTGTCTGAATTAGGCTCAGGTGCATTTAATTAGCACCCAGCTGATAGTGCCTCCTTGATCTGCCTCTGAACCCTGGCTGAGAATTAACCCCCAAAACTCTTAGCAATTCCCTGGTTTTCCAGAGTTTCCATCCAGGAATGCTAGTGGAGTGGAATGCAAGATACACCCTAGGGATCCCAATAGATATCTGTACCCCAGTTTATCGGGTAAATAAAGCATTGTGATAATCCAGCCAAGAAAGAGAATCAGGTATGCATTCAATGTTAGGAATCAGAAAAAATCATAAAAGTTATGAATGAGCCCTGCATGCCATGATGATAATGAGAAGCAAGAATAAAATGGAGTCAAGCCAGCCCTTTTCCACAGGTTTTCCATGCTATCAACTCTGGAATAATGGAAGATTGTTTAAATTATTTTGTGGCACTGTGTCCTTGATAATCCAATGTTATCACTGTTCCCTACATCTTCTTTTGCAATCTCTTGCAGAGTCCTTACGACCAAGTGCCACTAGTTTGAACAGATTTTCTGCACTGCAGCCCCCAGTGTCGTCTGTGTCGTCTTCTTCTGTATCCTCAGAGTTAGACTCTCGCAGGGCCTTAACTAGGTAAGATTCAGTCAGCCAATAGAATTTGCCGTTCCAATATTTATGCATCCTAACATTTATTTGCTACTTTTACTGCCACCGCACATAGGGAAGAGGTGGCCATTGAGCTGTCTCTCAGTGATGCCCAGGTCTTTTTTCCTGAGTGGTTAAAATTAATTTAGAACCTATCTATATGTATCATTTGTTCCAAAGGTCACACTTTATGTTAAGGGTGTATTTATAAATACAGGAAAAGCTGTGTTCTCCAGCACTTTACAAACCAGAAAGCTCTATGAACCAGCATTTCGGGAGAGGTTGCGGGGTGTGGGCTCTGGGAGGGAGTTTGAGTATGGGAGAGGGCTTGGGGTTGGGGCTCAGGAGGGGTTTTGGGTTGCCGGATCTGTGCGGCACTCACCTTGGGTGGCTCCTCGCAAGCAGCGACATGTCCAGAGAGGCACGGCCAGGTGGCTCTGTGTGCTGCCTTCACCTACAGGCACCGCCCCCACAGCTCCCCTTGGCAGCTCCCCGCAGCTCCGGTCTGTGCTCCTAGGCAGAGAAATGGCTCCGTGTGCTGTCCCTGCCCCGAGCACTGGCTCCACAGCTCCCATTGGCTGGGGACCGCAGCCAATGGGAGCTGCAGGGGCGGTGCCTGTGGGCAGAGGCAGCGTGCAGAGCCACTTGGCCACACCTCCACCTAGGAGCATTGATCTCGGCCAGTCGGAGCTGCAGGGGTGGCACCTGCAGGTGGAGGCAGCATGCAGAGCTGCTTGGCCGTGCCTCTCCAGACATGTCGCCACTTGTGGGGAGCCGCCCGAGGTGAGCGCTGCCCGGATCCGGCACCCCGAAACTCCTCCCGCGTCCCAACCCCCAGCCCTGAACCCCCTCTTGCACTCAAACTTTCTCCCTCCTAGTTAACCAGAATTTTTGACTTACCGGCACCCCTCATCCCCCAATATTCCGGATAACAAAGCTTTTACTATCGTTTATGAAGGGTTAATAAATAATTAAGATAGGTGTATTAAATGATTAATTTTTGTAGAAGGTTATCGGGTCCAACACGTCTGTCAGTTGCTTACGTATAACACTTTCTACCATTATGTTTATAACTAGCTATAAAACATACTACTCATATCTGTAACGTGCTTATAGTGTTTATTAATTATTTACTAAATTATTATAAACTATTTACTTTAATGTACCCTTAATGTAAAGTTGACCAATTATTCATTCCAATGTGCATAACTTTGCATTTGTCAACAATGAATTTCATCTGCCATCAGGCTGTCCATTCACCAAGTCCCTCTGAAGTTCCCCACAGTCTTCTCTAATCTTGACTGTTGTAAATAATTTTGTCTCATCTGGGATTTTTCCACATCAGTATAATCTTCCTTTTTCCAAATAATTAATTAAAATGTTAACATAATTCCTAGGGTTTATCTGTCAGAAATCCCAGTGTTTAGCATTTTGCTATTTTGAAATTATACTTCAATATATGCATAGGTAAAGAATATACCAGTCAGGCCACTTCACAGTGAAATGGTGCCATTACTTTAACATTAAAATTCACTGTGTTTTGAACCTGCAGAAGTGTAGTATATCCTCAGAGTGTTTTGTTTCAGATGTGCACTATGACACATATGCTCTCCTTCCCCCTCCCCTGTGTGCATGTATATATGCATTCGTCAGTTGGATCAAGCGTCTGAGGTCCACACCACAGGTTTAAAGGTGAGGAGATCCACAGGCTGCATATTGACCACAATCTGTACAGTTGAACTGTATTAAAAATAACTTTCATTGACTATTAAATTACTTTCTCATTTTTTCTGTAACAAATAGACTGTATAAGAGACAGCTACCCAGCTGCTTTTATAATGTTATGGGAAATGTGTCCAGTGTTAATTTTTAGCAGTAAGAGGATAAGAGCCTTCCATATGAATGTGTTTTCACTTTCTAGTCGTGGGAGCACAGGCAGAGAGAAGAATGACAAACCACTCCCATCTTCGGTCACCCGTCCAAACACCTTCCTGCGCGGTAGCAGCAATAAAGAGCTGCTGCTAGGCAATCAGGCACAAGAAGAACAACGGCGAGAGATGCTAGAGACAGTGAAACAGCTAACAGGTGGCATGGATATGGAGAGAAACATCACAGAGATAGACAGGAACAAAGCCAAGGAAATGGGTGAGAGACTCCTCCATGAGTGCTAGGTGAGCACTCCTGGAGCTCTTTAATACAGGGGAATCCTTCTGAATGTGCAGAAATGTTTACAGGAGAATTAATCAATATAAGTGACAGTTCTCTGTGTTTCAGAGTAGCAGCCGTGTTAGTCTGTATACGCAAAAAGGAGTACTTGTGGCACCTTAGATAAATTTGTTAGTCTCTAAGGTGCCACAAGTACTCCAGTTCTCTGTGTGTCATTGTGGATTTTTTCCCCACAGTGACTCACAGTGGAGCTTTTGTAGCTGAACCGTGTTTCCAAAGTTTTATAACTCAGCTGATTTACACATTTCTCCTCTTATTGTCATCTTTGCTCACCAACAGCCTTTTGGTTTCACATAAGTAAAAATACAGTTTCTTCTTCAAGTGCTTGCTCATGTCCATTCCATGTAAGTGTGTGCCTGCACCATTGCCAAAGATTTTTTCCCATAGTGGTATCCATTAGGCCGACTCTGGCGCCCTCTGGAGCCACATGCTTATGCGCCATTATAAGGGACACTGCCGTCCCCACACTCTTTCAGTTCGTTCTTACTGCTCATAACGTTTCTTGGAACGACCCTTCTTGTTGCAGCAAGGCTTCTTTCCAGTGGTTTTTGAACTCCTCCTTGGTTCGTAGTTATCTTAGTTATATAGTTTTGTGTATATAGTTTTTACAAGTAGTGGTAGTGTATATAGTTAGTGTAAATAGATAGTTCCTATCGTTGAAAGACATCTTCGCCCCAGGGGCCAGGCATGCTTCAAGCCTTGTGCCTCCTGCAGTAAACCTATGTCCTTAAGTGAGTCTTACTCCAGCTGCTTTAAGTGCTTGGGGAAAACCCATGTGAGGAACTAGTGCCAGATCTGTTGGGACTTCAGACCTCGCACTGAAAAGGACAGAGACATCAGGCTGAAGACTCTCCTCTTGGAAGTTGTCCTCAGACCAGTCTCAGAACCAAGCCACTCTGATTCAGCGCTGCATACTTGAGTGTCGGTGCGAAGCGCTTCCCTGGCACTGAGCTCTTTGCAGCACCGTTCACCAATTCTCTGGTGCCAAGAAAGAAGCACAAGAAGCAGCACACCAACAGAGGGTGCTCACCGGTGCAGAAGAGAGATAAGCGAGGGGAGGAAAGCATAGTGAGACCTGTGCTGGGCCACTCTTCTGCTTCTGGGCTCATGCTGGCACTGTCAACTCCGCCTAGGGCATTGAGTCCTGTGCAGAACCCTCAGCCGACACCAGGAAGCCACCATGGTACCAGCGGTCTGATGGTATCATTGACTCCAGAGGCTTTCCAGTTGGCTACGGACCTACTTTCTCTGCCCGTCCTGCCAACCCCAATGGGGTGCCTGTCAGCTCCAGCATCTGTAAGCAGGAGGGAACAAGGAGCGTAAGGTGGCTTCCTGGCTCCAAGCCTCTCAGCTCCTTCTTGGGCAAACCTTCCCTGATCCCAGTGTCCCGATCTCTTGTGCGTCACTGGTCCCCGGAACCCTAGCACCATATATGGAGGTAGAAGCAGGTACTGCTCCACCGTGGTCGCCAGGAGAAAACTCCTCTTTGGAGTTCAAAGGGGACCCTTATGTGCCACCGAAAGCCCACCACCGGTACCAAGCATATGCGCCACCAGCAGGCCTTTTGAAGGTGCACCCAATGAGTCCTGTATCAGTCACCATTTCAGATTCACCTCCCCTTTTATTTTTGGACCATCTGTCACCCTTCAGCCTGGCATGGTCATTCATAACATCAGACCACTGAGTCCTGAGCAATTCCCTTCCACCCCCTATCCCCATCACTCCTCAGGGACCCTTCTCACAAGCAAATCCTCATCTAGGAGATGCAGTCCCTCCTACCTATGTGGGCCATGGAGGGAGTTCCTCAAGACTTGAGTGGGAAGGGGTTTTACTCCCGGTATTTCCTAATCCCAAAGGACAAAGAGGGCCCCGCCCAGCTCGGACCTGCATGGCCTCAACAGATATCTCAGTAAACAAAGGTTCCCCATCGTCTCCCTGGCCTCCATCATTCCCTTCCTGGGTCCAGGAGTCTGATACGCCGCCCAGGTCTTAAAGGACACATACTTTCACATTTCTATCTTCCGTGGCCACACAAGATTTCTCAGGTTTGTAGTGGGTCAACACCACTACCAATTGACTGCCCTCCCCTTCGGCCTATCGGCAGCCCCACGGATTTTCACAGTGTATGGTGATTGTAGCAGCCTTCCTCAGGCAGTGAGGCATACAAGTCTACCCATACTTTGATGACTGGCTGATCAAAGGTCGGTTGCAGGCTCCAGTACAGAACAGCATCAGCATAGTCCGAGCCACCTTCAGAGCGCTGGACCTGCTGATAAATGAGCAGAAGTCAACTCCTGTCCTAGTTCAGAGAACAGAATTTACTGGGGAATTTACCCAATTCCAGACCATGTCAGACCTGATATCCAAGGTCATGGCCCACCCAGTCATGACAGCTCGGGTGTGCCTCAAGCTTCTGGATCATATGGTGGCTTGTACTTACGTGGTTCGGCATGCAAGGCTGTGCATCAGGCTCCTCCAGATGTGGTTAGCATCATAGAATCATAGAATATAAGGGTTGGAAGGGACCCCAGAAGGTCATCTAGTCCAACCCCCTGCTCAAAGCAGGACCAATTCCCAGTTAAATCATCCCAGCCAGGGCTTTGTCAAGCCTGACCTTAAAAACCTCTAAGGAAGGAGATTCTACCACCTCCCTAGGTAACGCATTCCAGTGTTTCACCACCCTCATAGTGAAAAAGTTTTTCCTAATATCCAATCTAAACCTCCCCCACTGCAGCTTGAGACCATTACTCCTCGTTCTGTCATCTGATACCATTGAGAACAGTCTAGAGCCATCCTCTTTGGAACCCCCTTTCAGGTAGTTGAAAACAGCTATCAAATCCCCCCTCATTCTTCTCTTCTGCAGGCTAAACAATCCCAGCTCCCTCAGCCTCTCCTCATAACTCATGTGTTCCAGACCCCTAATCATTTTTGTTGCCCTTCGCTGGACTCTCTCCAATTTATCCACATCCTTCTTGTAGTGTGGGGCCCAAAACTGGACACAGTACTCCAGATGAGGCCTCACCAATGTCGAATAGAGGGGAACGATCACGTCCCTCGATCTGCTCGCTATGCCCCTACTTATACATCCCAAAATGCCATTGGCCTTCTTGGCAACAAGGGCACACTGCTGACTCATATCCAGCTTCTCGTCCACTGTCACCCCTAGGTCCTTTTCCGCAGCACTGCTGCCTAGCCATTCGGTCCCTAGTCTGTAGCTGTGCATTGGGTTCTTCCGTCCTAAGTGCAGGACCCTGCACTTATCCTTATTGAACCTCATCAGATTTCTTTTGGCCCAATCCTCCAATTTGTCTAGGTCCTTCTGTATCCTATCCCTCCCCTCCAGCATATCTACCACTCCTCCCAGTTTAGTATCATCAGTTTACTCCCTGAGCAGACACCACTTGGACTTAGTGCTCATGGTCCCTCCCTAAGCTGGTGGAAAGACCCAAGATTAGTAATGATGGGGGTGCCCTTTGTTACCCCTCAACCATCAATAACCTTAATCTCAAACATGTCTGACCTAGGGTGGGGTGCCCACCTTAACAACGTCAGGAGTCAGGGCCTCTGGTCCCAAGAAGAATTCTCCCTGCACATAAACAACAGGTTGCTCAGGGAGGTATGCTTAACATGCCAAGTGTTCCTCCCCCAGATCTCAGGTGAGGTGGTGCAAGTCCTTACAGACAGTATTGCAGCCATGTTTTATATCAACAAGCAGGGAGGGGCTTGATCTTTGGCCTTGGGTCAGGAGGCCATCTGTCTGTGGGACGTCTGCACGAAGCACTCCATCTCAAGGCTTCACGTCTCCTGGGAGCCAGGAATAAATTGGCGGAGCACCTCAGCAGATCCTTCTCCCACCACGAGTGGTCCCTTCACCCACAGATTACCAGATTCATCTTCCAAAGGTGGGGGTCTCCCCAGGTGGAGCTGTTCACCGCCAGGCAGAACAGGAAATGCCATCAGTTTTGTTTACTGTGCAGACACAACCCAGGCTCTCTTTCCAACACCTTGCTATTCTTGTGGATAGGCCACCACCTGTACACCTTTCCCCCAATCCTCTTGGTTCACAAGGTCCTCCTAAAAATCAAACAGGACAAGGCAAGAGTTATTCTGATAGCACCATCATGGCCACGCCAGCATTGGTTCGTCATGCTCCTGGATTTCTTGGTGGCAGCTCCACTCTCACTCCCACTCTGTCTGGACCTGGTTTCAGAAGCCCACAGCTGGTTACTTCACCCAGACCTCACCTCACTGCATGTATGCTGCATGGCTGAACCCTGAAGAACAGGCCTGCTTGGAACAGGTTCGGCAGATCTTGCTAGACAGTAGAAAGCCTTCCACCAGGGCTGCCTACTTGGCCAAGTCATAGAATCATAGAATATTAGAGTTGGAAGAGACTTCAGGAGGTCATCTAGTCCAATCCTCTGCTCAAAGCAGGACCAACACCAACTAAATCATCCCAGCCAAGGCTTTGTCAAGCCGGGCCTTAAAAACCTCTAAGGATGGAGATGCCAGTGCTTCACCACCCTCCTAGTGAAATAGTGTTTTCAAATATCCAACCTAGACTCCCCCATTGCAACTTGAGATCATTCCTTCTTGTTCTGTCATCTGCCACCACTGAGAACAGCCTAGCTCCATCCTCTTTGGAACCCCCTTTCAGATAGTTGAAGGCTGCTATCGAATCCCCCCTCACTCTTCTCTTCTGCAGACTAAATAACCCCAGTTGCCTCAGCCTCTCCTCATAAGTCATGTGCCCCAGCCCCCTAACATTTTCGTTGCCCTTCGCTGGACTCTCTCCAATTTGTCCACATCCCTTCTATAGTGGGGGGACCAAACCTAGATGCAATACTCCAGGTATGGTCTTACCAGTGCCGAATAGTGAAAGTATTTCTTCTGTTGCTTCTGAATGTGCTCTCTCTCCA